GTACCTTAAAAATACAAGAAAATATTATGCGTTATATTTAGGATTTGTCAGCGAAGAACATAAAAATCACCTATTTTTGGACATAAAAATTAAATGCACAAAGAAAAAATTATCATTTACGAATATGATCACCCCGAACATCAATACAGGCGTAACAGCGATATCTTATGTTGAAAATGAGTTGCGTGGATAGCAATGTCGAGTGATCCAGCAGTTCTAAGCCCATCTAAGGTTTAGAGGAGGCGGTTGGAGGTCAGCAATACGCCTCCCGAGAGCGTCCCAAACATTTTCATGGAATTTACTTTGGGGAAGCTTGTTGGCCATTCCATTTGGATTATAGTTTCATCTTCAAGAAATTGTCGCATTACGAGAGCATGGATTATCTGCTTGCAAATGAATACCGATTGCGGCAGCGTACGGACGAATAGTAGGATCCAGTAAATGATTTATGAATTTTCAGATTGTTCAAAACTCTGAAATGGCAAAAGTATTGTAATTACGCAAGCTACAACTTTCCACCGTTCTACATGAGCCGCCGCTCATTGGATCTTCAAGTAACTTTTACCATCGGATGTGTAAGCTTTCCAGGAGAATTTTAAGACCAAGATCAAGTCGTTCTATTAAATTAAGGGAATTTAATATTATTAAATTTCTGATTTTACACACGGTGTGGAATGCGATTGTGAACTCTGACCTTGAGCAAAAGGCCGTTGCACTCGTCTCCCCCTCCCCAACGAAATTCGCTACGGAGTGACCGCAAAGAATGCTTCAAAAAAATAGAGAAGTGGGCGTTTTTATACACAGTGTTAATAGTAGAACTAATTAGTGTACCAAGAGAGGGTTAGCATCTTTGATCTCTGCTCATCGAGACGGATCCAGGTTTCTTTATCTGATGAAATTCTGACTAGTGGTTCGCAAATTAACGCTTTTTTTTTGCTTTTTTTTTGTTTTGTTTTAAACCTTAATTATTCATCTTAGTGTGTTACATCAGTTCTCACAGCGTAGTGTGTATCATGGTGAGTGTGTTGACATCAGTTCTTACAGTGTAGTGCTCATTAGTGCGTTATAGTGATCTGTTCTAATTGTGTTGTGCCTTCGCTTTTGGATTACCTAATTCAACAGATGAAATACATAGAAGATAAACGACCAAGGATTTCCCAGCTGAAAAGAGCAATCCACATAGCAGTGTGACGTAGCAGTAAGAATCAGAAACTTAAGACTTATTAGAATTTGGAAAAGTCCGCCGGATTGTACGTTTTCTATAACTTTTCTCGCTAGTTCTTTAAACTTCGGTTTTCTCAGCTGAAACTAACAATTAACGTAGTAGTGTGAGCTAATTAGTGATTCACAATGATAGTGTTTGTGCGAATACAGTGTTCTACAGCGTGTGTGTGTAGTACTCAGCACTATTAGTGCGCTTAATAAATATTATTGTGTTTACTTCATAGAGAACAAAGGAAGCGCAGAAGAAGCCCTGCAATCAAAGGTAGGATTGTTTTAATTATCCGGTAAACAAAATATCCGATAATCCTACGAGCAACAATTAAGATTGCATTACATTTACACAATAGCAGTCACCTAAATAGCATCAGAGTAATAATAGCTGTTTAAAACTTATGATTTTGTGCGTTCAATTAGGAGCTGGTAAATTAGCTGCGTATTCATTCCTTAATCCTGTATACCACCCTCCTAAATATTAGCAGTTTTGCAAGGATTCGTTTCAGTGATCGTATCTTGTATATTTTTCTGTTTTATACAATTAACTATACTTATATTTGTGAGTGTTTATATATCAGTAAGTGCTAGTATCTGGTGTAATATATTTCTAGCTTAATAATAATAATAATAATAATTAATTAATTAAGTTTTTTCCCTTAATATGCGTTGTATAATTATATAATTATGGCTTACAATAATTTAACTAATTAAGTATTTATGCTGATATTTTGTGTTATATACTTCTAGCTAATTATAATAATTTAATTGATTTAGTTTTTATACAGAGAATAGTTTCAGCGCTTGTATTCTGTGTGATATCATGTTCTATACCTTTATTATGCGGCCCATTTATTCATTGATCTTTACTAATTAAGCAGTGTACAGCGCTACTGCTACTTTATTAATTGAGCAGTGTGTTACCTGTCATATTTGATTGAGCAGAGTATTTGTCATATTTAATTCAGTCATATTTGATTCAGTGATCGCATTATATTTGAGTTGTCATATTTGATTCAGTGGTGTATCTTGTATATTTTCCTGTTTTATACATTTAACCATACTTATATCTGTGAGTGTTTATATATCAGTAAGTGCTAGTATCTTTTGTAATGTATTTCTAGCTTACAAAAATTTAATTAATCAAGTTTTCCCCCTAATGTGTTGTATAATTATATAATTCTGGCTTACAATAATTTAGCTAATTAAGTATTTATACTGATATTTTGTGTTATATACTTCTAGCTAATAATAATAATTTGATTGATTTAATTTTTATACAGAGAATAGTTCCAGTGCTTGTATTCTGTGTGATATCATGTTCTATACCTTTATTATACGGCCCATAGACTTTTAATTGATCTTTACTAATTAATAAGTGTACAGTTCTACTGCTACTGTTTTAATTGAGCAGTGTGTTACCTGTCATATTTGATTGAGCAGAGTATTACTTGCATTACTTATCACTTTCCCAGATTGAGCAGAGTATTCCCACTATCCTGATTGAGCAGTGTATGACCAGTGCTTATGTATACTCATACAACTTATCTAGCGGCATTTCTACACTGGTAAATAAAGCAAAATACCCCTTGATTGCTATACTCAACTTCATCATCACCCATATTCCTTCCAGCACAAACCAGCACTATGCCCTATGCAGAAGCGTCAGTGCGCCTTTGCAAATTCGACGCAGCAACAATCGTAGTAAATGAAAGTCTTAATTACGAACAAAAGATTAATACACTCTACGAGAAAGCCAAAGACATTGGCACCAGTACAAAAAGTAACAAGTACCTGTTACCGACAGAGCAAAGAAAGAAACTATTGGTCATTTTAGAGGCCTTCCTGACTCTAGCCACCAGAGGACCTGCTGCCACTCCACCTCCAGCTAAAACCAACACAGGTGTTAATACTGATTCAGGACTCTCCTACTCTCCACCTCAACCAACAATACACCCAGCAGCAGCTCCGGTTATCGAGCGTCCGTACGCGCAAGTGGCATCACATTCTACGAAACACACACTTCTTATTTACCCAAAAGAAGACTCGAACACCACAAGGAAAGTACTAAAGGAACACCTGAACGCCAAATTCCCTCTCCGACCACTAGGTGTAAAAATACACTCAGTTAGAAATATCCAGAAGGAGGGGATTGCTGTTGACTGGTGGGTGACACCAAAGAGGATCTCACCCACCTCACAAAGACGGTGTCCGCCGATAACATCGCGGCAAAAACATCGCGGACGAAAACGTCGCGGAGAAAACAACGCAAGGCGAAAACGTCGTGCTACAAAACATCGTGGGAGAAAACATCGCAAAGAGAAAACATCGCAGTTCTAAAACATCGTGGTACAAAACATCGAAGTCGAAAATAAAGCGGTTCAAAAACTTCGCAGTTTAAAAACATCGTCGTCGAAAATATCGTGATAAAAAATAAAGTATCTACAAATCATCGCATGACAATAACATCGCAGACATGCTTTTTTTCAGGTTTTAATAATTGTAAATGGATATTTATTCCCATAATGATTTGTGAGCGCAAGATGTAAAGAAGGATAATTTTTTACTTTCACATTTTTTTTATTAACTAATAAATTTTTGCTGAAAAAGTAGTAAGAAGGAAACTTAAGCATAGAAAATTAAATGCAACTCATAGATTATACTTTTCGTGAAAAATTACCAGTAAAAACTTTATAAAATATGATTTATTAATGGCCTTTGTTAGTTAACTATGTCGGTTTAAAATTCTATTAAGTACTATAAGTTGCATAAATTTTCTAGGCTTAAATCTCCTTCTTATTTTCTCAGCAAAAATTTATTAGTTAATAAAAAATATGAAAGTAAACGTTATCCTTTTTTCCAAACTTGCGCTCACAAATCATTGTGGGAATATCCATTTACAGTTATTAAAGCCTGAAAAAAGCATGTCTACGATGTTATCGTCATGCGATGATTTGCAGATACTTTATTTTTTACCACGATATTTTCGACGATGATGTTTTTAAACTGCGAAGTTTTTGAACCGCTTTATTTTCGACGACGATGTTTTGTATCACGATGTTTTAGAACTGCGATGTTTTCTCTTTGCGATGTTTTCTCCCACGATGTTTTGTAGCACGACGTTTTCGCCTTGCGTTGTTTTCTCCGCGACGTTTTCGTTTACGATGTTTTTGCTGCAATGTTTTCGGCTGTAACCCACAAAGACACTAGAAAGCACGCAAGGCAAACAATTTGCCAAAACAAAACTGCCAGCAGTCAGACTACCTAGAGTCACAATCCACGACGTAAAACTAGACTAGACGTCACCAAGGAGTACATTGAACGGGCACTAGGCCCTGAATACAACCTTACCAGCAGCACTACAAAAGTCTTATACCGGCTAAAAGATAAAGCAAATGGCGTCAAATGGGTGCTGGAATGTCAGCCATCAGCCTTCCACCGCATCATGCAATACCCCAGATTGTATCTTGGCTGGAGAGTGCACCGAATTGCTGAATTCTTCAACACCAGACGATGCTTCCAGTGCCAGGAGTTCGGGCACACGCAGCAAGACTGCAAGAACAAAGTCTACTGTGCGTACTGCTCCGGAAGCCACAACGTCAAGAACTGCAAATCCGGGATGGCCACCTGCATCAACTGTGCAGACTATAACTACAGAAGTAATAAAAAAATATCATGCGCCCATCCCGCCTATGACATCTCCTGTCCCACCTACAGCAGTTACGTTGAAAGAATCAAACGCAGCATAACCTACGAGTAATAGCACTGCGGACGTCCATCAATCTATGCCTACAGACTACAACAACCAAGTAACATTTAGCCCCATAAAATGCGTCCAGATTAATCTACAAAGAGCGCAGGCAGCGACATCTCAAGCAGTCACTCATGCAACATCCCACGATGCAGATCTACTCCTGATACAGGAACCTTATTGTAGAGAGGGTCAAGTAGCAAGCCTTCCCATATCGTGGAAAGTCTATCAGCGTAAAGCAGAAACTAACGAACAATCCCCCAGAGCCGCAATACCATGCACAAACCCCTCCTGGTCTCCACTAGTCATCAAGCAAGAACGAGACTTCGTTGCCATCTTATTAGCATTCAATAACGCACAGTACATAATAGCTTCAATTTTCTCTTCCCCAACGGACAGTATCACTGGCACCACCTCATACATTCTTGACACCATACAACGATGCCCTTCAACCCCTCTGCTTCTTAGTGGTGATTTTAATGCGCATAACACCATATGGGGATATGCAGATACTACGACGAAGGGACAGGAGCTTGAGGACTTTCTGGCAGCCAATAACATTCATCTATTAAATACACCCGATTCCACACCTACATTTGATAATACCTATCATGTGGGCTGGCCAGATCTCACCCTCTGTTCAAGCAACATCGCAAACCTAGTGCAGGACTGGACTGTGGTCGATGATGAAAGCTGCTCCGATCACAAATACCTTCACTTTCTCATAAACTGTGACACGAAAATCAGTCCTACGTAGGTACAGGCTTCCAGGCAACAAGATCTTCCAGGCATCTTAAGTAATGAGGAAAACAACCTTGCGCTTCACAACAGCCCAGAAGGCATGGAGATTTTCACAGACCGACATTTTGAAAACCTTAAAGCAGCCTGTAGTGAATTACTCCCCACACGCGCAACGAAGAAAATACAAGGAGTTAAGTGGTGGACGAAAGAGCTCAGACAACAACGGCAAAAATGCAGAGCTATCAGACGCCGCATACGTTCCACCACCAATGAAGACAACAGGAAAATCCAACTATTGGCGATATTCCGCAAAGAGCGCGCTCTTTACAAAAACAACATACTAGCGGCCAAAATTACCAGTTGGAGGAAATTTTGCACCGAAAACAGCAATCCGTATGGAATCCTCCACAAGCTAGCCTCAAGTAAAATATATCAGCCAGCTCAAATCTTCATGCAGCCACCAAATACAAGCAACGACAATCCAGTACAAAATACAGCCACTACAATCCTCAACTAAGTCTTCCCCACAGACAACGCGGAGGAAGATACGCCAGTACAGAAAATTGTTCGCATGAATACCACCATCCCACCGACTCCACATGATATACCATTTAGTGACAAGTAAGTCAAGCAAATTTTCCGACACCTACCCCTGAAAAAGGCCTCCGGTCCGGACGGCCTGGACTATTGCATCATCAAAGTTGCCTACAAAGCACGCCCCTCCTTCTTCTACAAATTCTTTAACCAACTGTTTGACAACCAAATATTCCCGCAGGCATTCAAGAAAGGACAAGTTGTCCTATTCCTGAAAAAGAATAAAAGCCCGCAAGACCCGCGCTCTTTTCGCCCGATATGCCTTTTGCCAACCCTGGGCAAAATTTACGAGAAATTAATTGTTAACAGACTAAAATATCATCTCCATAGCCACAATCATCTCAGCCCCAGGGCTTATGGCTTTCGCACTGGTCTGTCCACTACGCATGCCCTCTGCAAAATTCTTGAAACAATTCAACGCAATAGAACCATAGGTTTCCATACAGCTTTCATATCCATTGACCTCCAGAGTGCGTTTGACACACCCTGGTGACCAGCGATAAGACAGGCCCTCCGAGACGCACAGTGTCCATCCAACCTCTTCTGCGTTTTCAGTAGTTATCTAGAGAATCGTAGTCTTCTCACAGCCATCAACAACGACACTACCTTCAAAGTGCAAGAAAGAGGATGTCCCCAAGGCTCTTGTGCTGGACCGATTCTCTGGAATTTAACATTCAACGCTGTACTGGATGCAAACTGGCCACGACATACAAGTGTCATCGCCTACGCAGACGACGCAGCTCTTCTTGTCAAAGGTCGCACTCGTGCGGAGCTCGAGAAAAACGGCACCGAAGTCTGCTCCCTCCTCGCCAATATCTGCAGCAACTTAAAGCTTACAATCTCTACCGCAAAGTCATCAGCAATAATAATATCCAAAGCAGGCACGAATCCAACGCGCCGCCCCTGTTTCAAATTACAAGGAGCCAACATAAAGATTGTCCAAACGCTAAAATACCTAGGTGTAATCTGCGATAAAATACTAACCTGGATCCCTCACATCCAAGAACTAAAGAACAAAACATCAGCTATAGCCAGAAAGGCGCGCGCCTTCCAAGGTAAAACTGGGGTCAGAATCATCATATTCAGAAGATCTTCTACCATGCGGTAGCTGAAAAAATAGTCTTGTATGCTGCTGCCGTATGGGCCCAACCGATGGGAGGACGAAAGATCAAACATCTTACATCTCTTCAACGACCATTCGCCCTGAATCTCTGTAAAGCGTACCGCACCACAGCCACCAGCTCAGCGACAGTCCTTGCAGGGCTCATTCCACTCCACATAGAACAAGAGGCAGAACAAGAGGCAGTCTACACCACCCTCATATACCTCCGCAAAGATGCAACATTTGGCAACATAACATACAGCCCTCTGCAATTTCAAAGCCCAGGTAACACTCTTCACACTCATCCTGCACGTAAAGGCACAGGAATAAGAATTAACATCTCACGGATACAGCCACTGTCAATGACGCGAGTTTCAAGAGATACGCAAATATACAGCGACGGCTCTAAGCAGGAAGACGGAGTAGGCAGCGCCTTTGCACACTATGACAAAGGAAGAATCATCCATGTATGGAAAGGACGTCTTGACTTAAACAACAGTGTGTTCGGGGCGGAGGTGCAGGCAATTATAACCGCGGTAGATTACATTTTCAATAATATTATAGACGGGCGAAAATTTTCACTGACAGTATGTCAACGCTTCTAGCACTAAATAATCACAACCACACCTCGCCCTTGATCATCAAATTACAACAAATTTTACAGCGCAACCCGCAGAAACATCTCTCTTTAACATGGATCAAAGGCACATGCAGAAAATGAGGGGAATGAAGCAGCTGATAGCCTGGCCAAGCAAGCAGCCACTGATCCAGAAGCTGAAAAATCACAATCCCAGCCCCTCCTTCCTACCTCAAAGGGCTATTACGGGGTCAAGGCCTAAATCTTTGGCAGGAAGACTGGACGCACTGCACAACTGGAAGACGTACATACAGCTACCTTCCGAAAGTCAGCACTGAACGCAACATTGCAATAGCTCCTCTTACGGCTTATATTACGGAACACGGCCCATTCCCGACCTACTTCAATAGACATGGCATAACAACCACGGACATATGCGCCTGCGGAGCGGAAGACTCCCCAGACCACTATGTTTTTGAATGCCATCTGACAGCAGGAAATCACCTCCCTCTTCCCATCAAGAATAATGAAACTTATCACCGCTTCCTTATAAAGCACAAACCGGCAGTAAATACAATTTGCAAAGTTGTTAACAAGCTCAAGAGAATGGGCCAAGATTTGTGCTCTCCTCATTAACCAAAACTCTCAAGGCATGATACACTAACTAAGTCAGCATGCAGTTCCACATTCTCAGACACATAAGTCTACTCCTAAAACTTACATAAGTCCCTATTACAGACACGTTTCAAATAATGTACAATCAAATGTATTTAACATTTCCTCTTCTGTATATGCATAATACTTAATTTTTTATTTTTATTTATTTATTTATTTTATTTTATTTTTATTTTTATTTCCTATGAGCCTGTATTTTAATCCTATTATTTTGTAACTGTATTTTTGTATCTGTATATTTAATTTGTATTTTTATTTGAATTTTATTGTGAATGTGCAAAATTACCATAGCAAATTGCAACAACAAATGTCAAAACGGTAAAACGAATGCAATCTGCTCTTGTATGACCATGTAAATGCTCTTGTTAACATCCTAAAAAGCTCCCGAGGCGGCCTCTTGAGGCCCCAGGAAGTTGTTCCTGGTTAGTGGAGGGCGCGGGACACATGCCTGTTTACCTCTGTTAGACATCAGGCGTCCCCGTCCTCCGTTACCAACCAACCAACCATTTTGCAACTTCAGACTGTCCTTGACATGCTTCTGATTGGCCTAAGGCTCTATAACGCAGTTCTGATGGCAAATATCGCCTGAGCTATGCTTATATCCTGCTTAAATTTCTGAATCGTATTTAGAATGTACTTTTTGGACGAAAACGAAAATAACAATAAAACAATAACTCAGCAATTAGGTAAAGAATTAAACCCTTGAAATGTAACAAAATTAATTCTTTCTTAACTGTGTCTAGCAGCCAGTTATCCTTAAAATGTCCTCTCCGAAAGCATCCCTCTCCTTAGGCAGATAGCCCTAGTGATCTTTAGTATAATCTACTAAAACTAAACTTTCTTACCAGTACGTAATCTAGTAAAAAGCAAATCTTAAAAATCATTCTTGAAGTTCAATTACAATTCTGTCTCTAGACTTTTTTTAATTAATAATATTTTACTTAAAGTAGGGAAAGGTTGGAATGTTTCAGATTCGAAGCGGATTTAAAAGTTCCTGCAGCTGGAGCTCATCTTTTGTAATTTATGTTAAGAATCAGTCTTCAGAATTTTTCTGAAATGTTTCTTGCGTTCAAAAAAAGGCTTTTTTTTTTTTTTTTTTCTAAAGCCGCTTTTCTCGACTTATTATGTTAATACACTAGATTTGATGGTTTAGAAAATAAAGTCGATTATGCCTTTAGCGAAAGCTTATGGTGTCAATACTTTTGTCCATTATCAGAAATCCAGAAAAATGCAGGTGCATTTTCCCCCTACTTTAAAGGTCCCGGGATTTAGGATCTGTCCTTTAGTAGAGAGTATCGTCTGAGTGATATGTTTGTTAACAGAGATTTGATTATATATTTAATAATATAAATCACTAATACAATGAACATTATTTGTATTATAATTATATCATTGTATATAAGTATCATTTACTAATTATAATACAAATGATACTTATATATCATTTGTACATAAGTATCATTTGTATTATAATTAGTAGCACGCTACAAAATATTTTAACTCAATTTGCATTTTAGAAAGCATATAACACATAAACTTCAATAAAAATGAGTGTCATCTCTTGCTTCTTTCACCTGTTTGATGAAGAAAAATAACAAGCTCGAGGAAGTGGTTATTAAAAACGAAATATGAGTAATAATATGCGCATAATAAGAGTATAACTCTTGCATAATAAATCGTTTTCTTTGCATAAAATATATGAAAGGAATGTTCTTTCAGCCTAGAGTGTAATGCATTTAAATCAACATTAAAACATACATAAAAAAAACACTTCTTAATATTGCTTTTAAAATTCAGATTTTAATGCGAACTTTAATAACAGGTATGCGACAATAGTTAAAAATCTTGAAAAATGTACCTCATGACGCTCTCAAACTAAACAAACAAACTGCTTTTAAGGCTATTTCGGTAGCTGAAATTTTTCTTCAGGCAGTGGAAATACTTTATAATTAAGGAAAGTCACGACTTTCGTCCGGATGAAAACGTCATTCCTGAGGGTGAAAACTAAAATTCCTTTCTCCCCGAGGTAAGGAATCGACCTTCGAACGAGTCGTAGACCACCTGAAAA